CTCTGTTGATACTAGAGATAGTCATATTATTATGAATGGATAAAGGAATTTTTCCATACTTAAACACTTTTTTTCATTTTCTCTCCTATTAAAGCAATCAGGAACAATAAATATATTGATTGATATTCTACTACTATCAATGGGAAATGATACATTCCAATTCATATGGAAAGTAAAAGTATTTTAAATTACATTGCTATAGGTGAGATACTTAATTTTGATAAACAGGTCTCTCACTTTGAGATCTACTATGATTGTGTTTGACTTTTGGCTTAAGACTTCATTAACACTATTTATAATGCTCAGTTTAGTTGCATGCTTTTGGACCAAGTTATTTATCTTAACACAATAATCCCCTAAACCACTTATTATCAGGAGTTAAGAAAACAAATGGAGATATTTTAGGGTGTGCAAATCAAATGTATTTTTCTCTTAATTTTCCCTAAGAGTAGGGGTGAGTTTTTAAATATAATCCCAGGAAGAGCTCATGTTCCCTCTCCAAAAAGTGTGCTTTTATTCACAGAAAGATGTTGAAAATTGAGAAACAGAGTAAAATTAGAAAATCAAAGATTGCTATGAATAAAAATAATGTTCTTTCACAGTTTCTGTTATTTTATTTTTCATTATAATTTAGGGTATTATGAATTTTGTAAAATAATTTGATCAGAATTTCAAAAGAAAAAGGGAACCTAGACGAACTGCCAATTTAAACCTTAATGATCATTTATTGGAAGTTAAGCAGTACAGCCACAGGATGAATACATGTGTAATTATAATAATTCTCAACAATAATATTATGCCAGGGTGTGGTTCCTTAGCACACAGTTCAGTGCTACTCATACTTGCCCCCCAAATTTGATTAGCACATACTCTTGCTTGAAGAAAGAAAATAGTGTCAAAGTCTAGTTTAAGTCTGTAGTCACCAGTAATGAAATAGAAGAAATTTAAATTCTACTGTCTAATGCCCCTGGGGCATGGAGAGATTTATAAGTAAGGCCACATTCTACTCTCACTCAAACATCCCATCTGCCCTGGATTCTGCCAAATTCAGTAGTGACTAAAGACAAGACTGTGTACCTCAGAGTTATTTGAAGTATCCATAAATAAGAGAAGGATTAGAAAAATTTGGAGATACTGTGACTATAATATACAGATCTATAAACAGCCTTGAGCTTGAATTAATGGTATAGTTGACATTTTTGTCATGTTCATAGAGAAGAAACTGCTCACATTAATTTCTTTCCTATTCAACTCCACTCCAGTACAAAGATTAGAGCAATGTCTTGCCAATGATTAAACAAAAGTATGTATCAGACCCATATGAAAATAGTATTATAGATACATTATATAGATACATAGGTAGGTAGGTAGATAGATAGATAGATATAGATAGATAGATAGATAGATAGAGATAAGTAGACAGATCAACTTGTTTCTCCTGGTGGTCAGAAGGTTGGGACAAAAAAATGTGCTTAGTCTTTAGACCTGTATCTTCTCCCATTTCTAGGTTTCCAGTAGTGAGGGGTGACAACCATTGTTAGAATACAGCCAGTGACAATTGTGATTGGCAGTTCGCTCTTGCTTTGGCTCTCTCTAGGGCTGTTATTGGTGTATAGTAATGCTTGTGATTTCTACACATTGATTTTGTATCCTGAGACTTTGCTGAAGTTGCTTATCAGTTTAAGGAGATTTTGGGCTGAGACAATGGGGGTCTTCTAAATTTATAATCATGTCGTCTGCAAATAGACACAATTTGACTTCCTCCTTTTCTAATTGAATATCCTTTGTTTCTTTTTCTTGTTTGATTTCTCTGGTGAGAACTTTGAATACTATATTGAATAGGAATGGTGAGAAAGGGCATCCTTGTCTAGTGCCAGATTTCAAAGGGAATGCTTCCAGTTTTTGCCCATTCAGTATGTTATTGGCTGTGGGTTTGTCATAAATAGCTCTTATTGTTTTGAGATATGTTCCATCCATACCTAGTTATTGAGTTTTTAGCATAAATGCCTGTTGAATTTTGTCAATGGCCTTCTCTGCCATTGACAGAGATAATCACGTAGTTTTTGTCTTTGGTTCTGTTTATGTGGTGGATTACGTTTATAGACTTGTGTATGTTGAAACAGCCTTGCATCCCCAGGATAAAGCCTACTTGATCATGATGGATAAGCTTTTTGATGTGCTGTTGCAATTGGTTTGCACTAACAAAGGATGTAAAGGACCTCTTCAAGGAGAACTACAAACCACTGCTCAAGGAAATCAGAGAGGACACAAACGATGGAAAAACGTTCCATGCTCATGGTTAAGAAGAATGAATATTGTGAAAATGGCCATACTGCCCAACATAATTTATAGATTCAATACTATCCCCATCAAGCTACCTATGACCCTCTTCACAGAACTGGAAAAAAACCATCTTAAAATTCATATGGAACCAAAAGAGAGCCCACATAGCCAAGACAATCCTAAGCAAAAAGAACAAAGCTGGAGGCATCATGCTACCTGACTTCAAACTACTACAAGGCTACAGTAATCAAAACAGCATGGTACTGGTATCAAACAGAGATATAGACGAATGGAACAGAATAGAGGCCTTGGAGACAACACCGCACATCTACAACCATCTGATCTTTGACAAACCTGAGAAAAACAAGCAATGGGGAAATGATTCCCTGTTTAATAAATGGTGTTTGGAAAACTGGCTAGCCATGTGCAGAAAGCAGAAACTGGACCCCTTCCTGACACTTTACACTAAAATTAACTCCAGGTGGATTAATGACTTAAACATAAGATATAACACCATAAGAACCCTAGAAGAAAGCCTAGGCAAAGCCATTCAGGACATAGACATAGGCAAGGACATCATGACTAAAACACCAAAAGCATTGGCAATGAAAGCCAAAATAGACAAATGGGATCTAATGAAACACCAGAGCTTCTTCTGCACAGCAAAATAAACAATCAGTAGGGTGAACTGGGAACCAACAGAATGGGAAAAAGTTTTTGCAATCTACCCATCTAATAAAGGGCTAATATCCAGACTCTACAAAGAACTAAAACAGATTTACAATAAAAAAGCAAACAAACCTTTTCTAAAGTAGGCAGAAGACATGAACAGACTCTTTTGAAAACAAGACATATATAAGGCCAACAAACATATGAAAAAATGCTCATCATCATTGGTCATTAGAGAGATGCAAATCAAAACCACATTGAGATACCATCTCACACCAGTTAGAATGGTGATCATTAAAAAATCTGGAGACAACAGATGCTGGAGAGGATGTGGAGAAATAGGAACACTTTTACACTATTGGTGGGAATGTAAATTAGTTCAACCATTGTGGAAGACAGTGTGGCCATTCCTCAAGGATCTAGAAATAGAAATTCCATTTGACCCAGCAATCCCATTACTGGTTGTATATCCAAAGGATTACAAATCATTCTGTTATAAAGACATATGCACATGTATGTTCATTACAGCACTGTTTACAATAGCAAAGACCTGGAACCAACCCAAGTGCCCACTGATGATAGACTGGACAAGGAAAATGTGGCACATATACACCATGGAATACTATGCTGCCATAAAAAAACAATGAGTATGCATCCTTTGTAGGGACATGAATGAATCTGGAAACCATCATTCTCAGCAAACTGACACAAGAACAGAAAATCAAACACTGCATGTACTCACTCATACATGGGTGTTGAACAATGAGAACACATGGACACAGGGAGGGCAGTATCACACACTGGGGTCTGTTGAGGGGGTACAGGGGAGGGACAGTGGGGGTAGGGAGGTTGGGGTGGGATAACATAGGGAGAAATGCCAGATACAGGTTACTGGGGGATGGAGGTGGTTGTGACATGGTAAAAAGCCCCATAAAACTGTTGGGGTTGTAGGTAACAAAGTCCTAGATCAGGGTCTACGAGAGCTCTTTGTCAGGCTGGAATGGAAAACTGGTAACTGCCTATTCTGTCAGAAAAGTGTCCAATGTTGTTATGGGCAGTACCCGGTGGTGTATCACAGGGAGGCATACTGACATCACAATTGTTGGGAATTTGGGTGCCATAAACCACTAATGACAGATTGGCAACTCTTTTGCTCACTCTACAAATTGTGGTGGGTGCAAAATACACACCCAGTTGATCTATTAGTTCATTTCTTTTGCCACATCCCCACTTTTCCACGGGCTTTGGATAGGAGAGCCTATAGACAAGAGGATTATGCCCAAGCAGCACTAAACCTCCATAGAGCTTATTCTCACCAGTTGTGGTTTGCGGAGAGACCGCCACCTTATCCTGGCCCTTACCCCTGTCCCTTTGGATAGGACTAGAGACAGACCCACCAATTCAATTGTCTAGTCCTTGCAAGACCTAGCTGCAGAAACCCTACTAAAACCTGCTTTAGAGAGGGAAAAATTTGAATTGGAGGCTCTCCAAAATTGGTTATGCCAAAGAAAGAAAAAGTAAAAAAAGAGAGGAGAGAGGAGAGAAGACGGAGAACAGAGAGAAAGAGAGAGGAGACAGAGAACAGAGAGAAAGAGAGAAGAGGGGAAGAAGAGAGAGGTGAGAGAACAAGAAAGTAAGAGAGGGAAAGAAGAAAGAGGAGAGAGGAGACAGAGAGACAAAGAGAAGAGAGCAAGGAGAGAGAGATAGGGAGACAGGAATTTAATGCTTTTCAGGGTCCCTGTGTCAAAGTGACCAAAAGCTTCAGGGGCAAGGAACTCGCAGTCAGCTTAGAGCTCAGTTTTTAAACTGACACAAAAAGTGTTCTTTTTTCCCCTTCTCTGCCGGCAGCCAGCCCCACCTGGCTTTCAAGAAGGCCACACTGCCTCATTGTGCAGTATTTGCATCTAAAAACTGGCTTTAAGAACAGCTTTCTAACTCTTTGTAATGCAAGTTGCTTGTTAGCACAGTAGTTAAAACGTAGCCCCCGCCCCCCAAAACTAGCAAGATTGTTAGTTCAAATCCTCAGTGAAGCCAGTCTTAAATTAGTAAAATCTCTTAGGGAAAAATTTAAAAACTGAAAGAAAAATCCAATAGGGTCATTAGCTCCCGGCCTTGTGCACCTCTCCAATGCACGATGGCCAACTTCGAAGTTAGGTTTTCAGTTCAATATGGTGTAAAATTAACCCCTGGAGAACTCTGCTTTTTATCTAAACTAGAATAGTCATCCTTTAGAATTAGGTGGCCTGACACTGAGACCTAAGACTAAAAAATTTACCCAGGCTGTATGGAAAATGGTCACAGAAACTCCTGGACACCCTGACCAGTTTCTGTACATTAACCTATGGTTAGATTTAGTCCAACAATCCCACCATGGCTGAAACGTTGCATAAAACAGGCTAGACTTCAGGTCACGTTAGCCGGCCCAAAGAAAGCCCCTTCTGGGCCAGCCATTCTCCCCGCCCCAGCGGAAGATCAGGAATTACCTCCACCCTACTGAATGCCCTCTGAACCAGGGCCTCAGTATCCCCTCAGTACTAGTAATCAAACCTTGTTCCCCCTGCACACCCGCAGCGGGGCCCCACACCCACTGGCGGTCCTTCCTCTCCAAGAGGTGCCCCCAACAGGAGAGACAATCAGGGTCGCCAATTCTTTGTTCACATCCCTTTCTTGTCAAGGGACTTATATAACTGGAAGGTGATAGAAATTAAAGAGAGGGCCAAAACACCAAGTGATGACACAAGCTTTATTAAGAGCAAGGAAATATCTGCCAGACTGCACCCAAAATTGACAAGCAGCACCTGTGGCATTGCAAAGGGAATTTTTACGGCCTGCAAGCCGGCAGATGCCTCCAGTGTGAGGGGCTGTGAAGGAGGGGAGGGGCTTTGGAATTGCTGAGTTTAATAGTTCCTGGGAGGGCTGGGGAACTGCTAACCTGGCGAGTGGGGGAGGGTTAGAAACCTTGTGAGATGGAAAGTTCCCCGGGAGGGGGTCGTGCTGGGAGGCTGGGGATCTTAAGGCAGTGGCAGGGCTTTACAGTAGAGTAAGTTCTGTCAAAAAGTTCAACATCCCCCGTTCTCTGAGAAGCCCCAGGCTTTGACAGGGCTCTTAAAATCTGTACTGCAGACTCATCACCCCACTTGGAATGACTGCCAACAATTATTACTGAGTTTGTTCACCACAGAGGAGAGGAGTAGAATTAGACAAGAAGCCCATAAAGCAATACTTGGGACCGGGGGGAGGATCAAAAGATGCCAGGAACAAATTAATGAAATTTTCCCTTCCACCAGGCCCCAATGGGACCCAAAAACCCCAGTGGGCATGCAGGCTTTGAACAATTTTCACCGGTACTTGTTAGAGGGGGTTACGGGGGCAGCCCAAAAACTTACCAACCTCTCCAAGGTAGGGATCGTGACCCAGGGTCCACAGGCGTCCCCATCTGCTTTCCTTGAGTGCCTACAGGATGCTTATCACACCTACACTCCTGTTGACCCTGAGGCCCCGGAGAATCAGCGGGCCATCAATCTGGCTTTCGTTTCCCAGTCTGTCCCAGACATCAAAAGAAAAATTTCAAAAATTAAAGGGGTTCCAGAAAATAAATTTAGCTCAGCTGTTAGATTGCCCAAAAAGTTTTTAACAATAGGGATACCTTAGAGGCCAAGCAAGATAAGGGAGTTACTAACGCAGTGATAACAACACTCCAGGAAACCCGAGTTAACTCACGGGGACCAGAAATCCAGCAGAGAGGCTGCAGCAAGGTTTTAAAAATTCCCCCACTTTGTTTAATGAGATGCTGAGCCAAGACCTTGCTGCTTTCTGAGCTGAGTTCCCAGAATGTACCCTGCTCCAATATGTGGATGACTTACTCTTGGCCACAAAAACCCAGGAGGACTGTAAAGAGACCACCCAGTCATTACTAAGGACCCTACAGACTTTGGAGTACTGGGTCTCAGCTAAAAAGGCCCAACTCTGCCAGCTGAAAGTTACTTACCTGGACTATGTTATAGAGAAGGGCAACCGGGCACTGGCACCCAGCTGAATCCAAGCAGTGCTGCAAATACCCACCCCCACCACGAAATGCCAAGTTCGAGAATTCCTTGAGACAGTAGGGTACTACAGGCTATGGATTTTGGGATTTGCTGAGATAGCCCCTGTATGCCTGCACTGGAGGAAATCAGCCCTTGACATGGACAGAGATAGAGCAACGGGCTATTGACAAGCTCAAGACTGCCCTGACTGCAGCCCCAGCCTTGGCCTTGCCAGACATCTTTAAACCCTTCCAGTTGTTTGTGCATGAAAAACAGGGAGTCACTAAGAGGGTGCTCACCCAAACTCTGGGACCCTGGTCCCAGCCAGTCGCCTACCTCTCAAAAAAAAAAAAAAACTTGATCCTGTAGCCTCCAGATGGCTGGCTTGCCTAAGAGCGGTAGTGGCCACAGCCCTATTAGTCCAGGAGGCAGGCAAGCTAACTTTGAGGCAGGAGTTAAACCTAGTAGCTCCCCATGCGATGGAGTCACTACTTTTGGACCAGCCCCTCATAAAGTTTTTAAAGGCCACAGTTTTAAACCCCGCCAAATTGCTACCTGACGGCGAGCCAGAGGAGCCCATACATGACTGCCAACAAACTACAGATGTCCTCCATGCTGCGTGACCGGATCTCACCGACATCCCCCTGCAGAACCCAGAAGAGGTACTGTTCACAGATGGCAGCAGTTTCATGGTCAACAGAGTCAGGTATGCCGGGGCAGCTGTGGTCACTCTAGAGCGGGTTATCTGGGCCCAAGCTCTCCCACACAGGACCTCAGCCCAGAAGGCAGAACTCATAGCTCTGATAAAGGCCTTGGACTGGGCAGAGGGAAAAACTGTCAATATCTACACTGATAGTCGTTATGCCTTTGCTACAGCCCATGTACATAGGGCCATTTTAAAGAAAGAGGATTGCTTACCTCAGAAGGAAAAATCTTCAAAAACAAAGAAGAAATCCTAGCCCTGCTAAAAGCTATATGGAAGCCCAAGGCAGTGGCATTAATACACTGCAAAGGACACAAGAAGGGAGATTCACCAGAGGCAAGGGGAAATACAGCAGCTGACCTGCAAGCCAGACAGGCAGCCTTGGGGCCAGTAAAACCTCTGACTCTTCTTCTGACTCAGCCAGCCCCAAACCTGCCTCCTACCCCAATGTACTCGCCTGAGGAAGAAAACTTTGCTAGAGAACAGAGGGGACGACAAGATTCCACAGGATGGTGGATTCTACCGGACATAAGGATTGTGCTCCCCGAGGCTTTAGGACGGACTCTAGTTAAGGACACACCAGGCCACTAAGGACAAACAAAACTCACTGAGCTGTTGAGGGCCAGATACTACATTCCACATTTACATGAGATTGTTAGGGAAACTACTATTCATTGTAATGTAAGCGACAGGGTAAATCCAGAAGACAGTAAAACTAGTCAGGCAGGAATAAGACTTAGGGGTACTAGCCCATGGGAACACTAGGAGGTAGATTTTACTGAAATAAAGCCACCAGCGTGCGGCTGTAAATACCTCCTTGTGTTTGTAGACACTTTTTCTAGATAGGTTGAGGCTTTTCCTACTAGGTCAGAAACCACACTGGTAGTAACAAAAAGATTGTTACAGGACCTGGTTCCTCAGTTCGCCTTGCCCCTGACACTGGGATCAGATAATGGTCCTGCCTTTACAGCACAGGTTTCACAGGGCCTGGCCAAGGCCCTGGGCATATCCTGGAAGCTACACTGTGCCTATCGCCCCCAGAGTTCAGGTCAGGTTGAAAGGATGAACCGGACCATAAAGGAGACTTTAACAAAATTCATTCTGGAAACCGGTGAAAACTGGGTCAACCTGCTTCCTTTTGTCCTCCGCCATATCCGATGCACACCCTATCAAAAAGTCTTCTCCCCTTTTGAAATCATGTTTGGTAGGCCCCCTCCCTTACTCCCCAGACCCGCAGATACCGTGCATGCTGAAGTCCATAACCAAACACTCCTTAAGTCCTTAGAGGCACTCCAGTCTGTTCAGTCCCAGGTGCACTCGCTCATCAGAGGAGCTCAACCTACCCCAGGGGACCTCACTGACCAGCCGGTACACCTCTTTCAGCTGGGAGACGAAGTCCTGGTAAAGAGATTCATCGCCTCCAGCCTGACTCCTCACTGGAAGGGACCCTACAACAGGATTCTGGTCACCCCCATGGCCATCAAGGTGGACAGACTGACTGCCTGGATTCAGCACTCACATGTCAAGACTGCCCCCCACCCCTGGACACACAATGGAGAGTGACCTCAGCTTCAGCAGACCACCTAAAGCTAAGACTTTCATGCTGTTCACAGTCGTCATCCTAATCTTAATTCCTGTACCCACCCCCCGAAAGGAACCCCCCCCTTAATGCCCACTTATTATCAATGGGTCATCACGGAAGGCTTAACAGGACAATTTGTTAGTACTGTACTCAGGGCTGGAACCACCCTTGTCAATTTAACCATAAAGTACATCCCCATAGAGCCCATAACCTTCTCCCTAGACCTCTGCACTCTCTTGAGTAAAAGCCTAAATATAAAAATATCGACAAAGAGATGGGGGCGGGGAAATATGGTGAAAGCAAAGGAAATGGGGTGTGGTAACGTAGAGGCCAAAAAACAACTGCAGACTATGGGGCTATATCTATGCCCAGGGTCCACCCCACGAAAGAGGTGGAATTGTGGAAACTTAGAGGAGTTCTTCTGCCCCACTGGGGCTGTGAGACTATCTCCACTATATCAGGATATGCTACAAACAAAGACTCTTTTATTTCTTTCACCCGAGACTCTCCCCCAAACCCTTGCTACACTGGTTCTTGTAACCCACTCAAAATAACAGTCCTGTATCCAGATAGGAGATGGACAACAGGGCATACCTAGGGTCTCTGGGTATATATGAGTGGGTAGGACAAGGAAAACATCTTTACCATCCAGCATAAAAAATGTTTTCCTGGTCCCCTTGGCTCACTTCCCTCCTCACCGGCCTGGTAGGACATCTGGCCCTACTCTTACTGGGTCTCATGTTCGGCCCCTGCCTCCTAAACCAACTGCTCAAGTTCATAAAATCTAGGGTAGACTCCATAAAATTAATAATATTAAGATCTCAATATGAGTGCTTAGAACAAACAAACAATACTAACCAGTTAGAGGAATCAATGATTTAATTCCTGTAAATAAAACAAGGGGGGAATGTGACATGGTAAAAAGCCCGTAAAACTGCACACCTCAAACATACCTCAGCTTTCTGTTGAAACTGCTCTCTGTAACCCAAATGTGAATAAGTAATTAAGGACTGTGATCCCCACACTACCCAGACAATGTGTAAACCAATGCTAATCTTAGCTTCTGTGAACCACTTAAGTAATAATCAGAATGTCAAATAGTCCCCTGGCCCTTGGAATGTCCGGAAGCCCCTCACCCTCATCTCCGCCCAGAAAGTGATTTGCAGAATCCACTAGCCCTCGGAATGTCTGAAGCCCCTCACTCCCACTCCCAAGGTGGTTTTATGGGTATATAAAGGTCTTGTCACCCTTCTTTCTCTGCCACGAGTTGGACAGACGTGAGTCCTCCGTGGTCACCGGCAATAAACCCTGCAATTTGGCATACTTTTGTCTTGGTGTTGACTTTCTATGCTCGGTTCGGTGTAACACAGCAAACCACCTTGCCATGTATGTACCTATGCAACAATCCTGCAGGTTCTGCACATGTACCCCAGAACCTAAAGTGCATTAAAATATATAGATATATATGAAAGAAAGAAAGAAAGAATTTCAAAATGCAACTCTACTCACTACTACCCAGCATTCCTGATGCTCCTTGCTATACTTATTACCTACTAAATACTAGCAATTTACATATCATGTTTGTCTCCCTCCTCCTCCTTTGGAATGTTAATTCATAGAGAAATCTTCATTGTATTGACTGAAATAAAGCACCTAGTATCTGATACATTATATAAAAAAGGAAGAGTACAGCCAGTGGAAAGTATGTTGGGGCCAGATGAGGTCTCAGGCCTGCAGTTAAAACCCTGGGTAATTAATTACTCAATCCATTCCAATGAGACTAAAAGACATACTGCCAATGACAAGACAACATGATTTTCTATTATAGAACAAAGGAATGTAAAATGAAAGCCAAGTGCAACAGGTAATTCATTACCAATGTAGTTAACACTGATTAATACACAAAGGCCATTTGTAGTTGTGCTTTCAGTCCTCATAATCCCTTTACCACCAGGTTAATATTGTCTTCTTGCTTACTATTCTTAGTGAGAATCAGAAGCCAAAACTCTTTTGGGTCCCAGCTATTTTGAGGTCTTACTAATAGCCATCTTCCTAGAGTAGAATGGTTTGAATCATCTCTCCCATCGAGCAAAACGTACTGCCTATTTCCCTGCACACCACCATTCTGGCTGTCTCTGTACAACACCCACTTTACCTTTAAGCTTAACCTAAGCCCCAACTTCCTGCTCTTTGTTGGCCTACCTTTTCTATTATAGTGGTTATTAGGTCTGTTTATGAATCGTCCAATTTGCCTCTCCTTACAGAAACATGGTAGAATTGCACTTCACCAGTGATTTTAAATTAAGTATGGTCACTAACTTACCTTGGGCAAATAAATGTTAAAGAGAAGTATCATGTGCCATTTCCATGTGGAAGCCTTAAGAGCCAGTGCATACTTTACCACAATCACTTTTTCTGCTTCAGAGACCATGGAAATAGGAGTTGATAGCAAATGTTTGTTGGCAGCATCTTTGAATAAACACAAAGAGCAGGGCCTTCTTTCAAATATGCAGTGCACATGAGGCATTAGACCATTGAAAATTTGAACTTGTTTATTATTGCAGCATAACTTAGCTTATTCTGACTCGCTTTATAATTAGAACTTGACAATTTTCTATTCAACTTGACTGTTTCACCAGCTAAAACTGGTGAATAATTTTGAAGGTTGATTTTTGAAAGCCTGTTTTTATTGTAATACAGAATACTTCCATTAAATAATCACAGGAAACAAATTTTATCTTTATTTTTACATGATGGAAAATCTTTTTTTTTTGCTTTTCTTTATAATTTGTCCCCTACATTTCAAGGTCCAGTTATCTAAATAATATAAATGATATCTCCACAAAAAGTATATGTTTATAATGCTAGTGAAAATAGCAATTGAGCTGGGCACAATGGTGCATACCAGTAGTTCCAGCTACTCAGGAGGCTGAGTTGGAAAGATTGCTTGAGCCCAGTAATATAAATTGCCCAGACAGTTTGAGTCCAGCATGAGCAGTATAGTGGGACTCTGTCCCTGAAACAGCAACAACAACTATATATTTCTAGATAGTTGTTGCTGTGTGTGTGTGTGTATAGTTGTTGCTAAGTATATAGAGTTAGTTATTTAATGATATATTTGTAAATTTAGTTATATATAATTAACTTTGATACATTATATGTTATACAATTACAAGCTATAAACATATTTCTGCAAAAATATAATTTATATATTTATTATATATTTATATTTATGTTACATTTATGTTATTTAGACAATTAGACCTTGAAATGTAGGTGGTAAATTATAAAGTAAAAAAAAAAAATTTCCATCATGCCAAGAAAAGTCAATTTAAAACATTTGTTTCCTATTTTTATGCATCTGTAGCTATCTATATCTGTCTATATAGGTATACAGCAATTAAAATTATTTTAAATACCAACTGTTTAGGCAAAACTAAATAAAAGCATGTAAAATGGTCTCTGACTTCTCCCAGTTTTGTTTTAAAGCTGTTATATTAATTTAAACTGTATGTCATATTACTTAAAAAAATAAAAAATCTGTATGGATCTGAAATATATTTTTTACCATTTTAAAGTAATTTTTTTCTTGTTAAGTCGATATTCGAACCTCCTTATAAAGCAGGACAATACAAGGTACATCTATTGTCATAACTCTAAAACCAGTATGTGAGCTCAGTTTTATTCATTTTAATTTTTTCCTTTTTATTTCAGTATTTTTCATTTCAGTTCTTTTCTGTCTTTGCAGTATCTTATTTAAGATTCCAGGAAAAGCTTAAGTAAAGTTGTAAATTAGAGAAAGTGGCTTTTGCTGTCTCGGAGTCATTTCTTTGTCCTCTGCTCTATTCCCTGTCAACACCTCTCCTTTCCTCTGCTATTTTCATGTATATAAACAGTCACAGATTCACCTCAGGTCTAATGATGGTAAATTACATCTTTGCACAAATTGAAGTCACCGGATTTCCTTTTCAGGAATCCATGCATTTTAAACTGTCTGTGATAATAGTAGAGCTCTTGTATATCATTTGAAAAACATTTCATAAATCAGATGGCAGAGAGACTTTAGGGAACAAGAACAGCTTTCTAGCACCTCTCAAATCAAACCCTTTGGTGGAAACGTTTCAGCCAACAGAAGCAGGCATCTTGGTTTTGAAGTTTAGACAAAAGAGAGGGACTCAGGCCACTCACTTGCATAAATACTTTTATTTGTATTCAACTGTGTTTCAGCTGACTTTCTAACCTTTTAGAAAACAGCATTTTGGATTCTTTGCACCACACAGTAGCTCTGTGTGAAATTTATAGTAATTTAAAAAGAAACTCCCTCTGGCTTCACATGACTGAACGAACATTTGATTAAAATTAGGGGATCCGAGCTACCAGGCAAGTCCTTCTAGCTCCCTCTGTAACATCTGCTGAAGTAAGCCTTCAGAAGTCAGACAGAATTGAAGTGTCATGCTCTGGGGGAAATATACATAACACAAAATTAAATGATGAACATGAACAACATGAACGGAAGAGTTCATAAGGTGTGGACCATGTGTAAGCTGATTAGTTACTGGCTTAAAAAAGAGGGCTTCAGGAAACAGTAAAAGAGGGATTTCTGGATTTGCTTGCTTCTATGTGTTATTAGCCCACAGTGTAATACTGTAGCACTGCACCCAAATCTAGGTGCAGTGAAATTGCAGGTAACATAAAGGTTTTAAAAGAATGAAAAAGGTTCATTATAATTCAATTTTAAAATATACTTAAATGTTAAAATAGTGTGTGTATTTCAAAAACTCCAAAGAGTAAAAAATTATTATATTAAGAAAACAGCAATATGCAAGCCAAAATTTTTAGAATTTAGGTAAAAGCAGTTATTTGGAGATATTGGGAAATTAAAACATATATAATTTTCTTGCTAAATTTTTAACATCTATAAATACATAACTGACTATGACAATTTCACTAAAAATTATCTCCAAAGGGATGTGTTATGATATTACTTAACCAACTAAGCTAATTTTTTTTCAAATTTAAACAAGTGGCATATTAAACCCATTGAAACAATAAGATGAAAAATTGTTGGTACTTTCTTACTTTGACAAAAAAAATACTGATATCATTTTGGGCTGATGCCAGTATTTAGATCAATCAACATTGTTTATAGCTGAGTAAACAATAGGTATATTATAGGCCGAAATTATATTATTGATTATTTCTTCCTCTGTTATGATTAGCCAATTATCAGCATAATAAAGTTTTATATTAATATTTTTATTGCTAATTTCTCAAAATAACCATGGGTATTAAGTTTTATGTATTCAAAATTATTTAATTAATAGATTTGGCAATTGTTTGACATATTTTACTACTGTAATATTCTTATTAAACAAAATGATTCAGTCCACTCAAAATATTGTCTATAGAATCAAAATTCTAAATGCTTGTTACTTGAGAGGGAAATAGAAAAGTAGAACTTGAAAGATGGAGGTGCGTTATAGCAAAGTGGTATTAGAGAGAAATGAAGTTTGAAGAATTTATGTTTCACCTGTGCTGCATTGGTGGTACCATTTGTTGAAATTCAGTTTGTTACTTTCAGAGAGAATATAACATGAATAAAGTTTTAGGAGATTATAAAAATGTTAGTAACTCATTGGTCCATAGAAATATGTTTTCATAAATGGTTACATCAGAAAGATTTTATTTCAAATATATGCTTTAATAAAAATACTCATACATATTCATAAAGAAATTCATGTGTATGACTCACAGAACTTCTCAGTCATTTGTGAAAGAATTAAAATTAGCCAGTGGGAGAGGGCAGGTGTCTCTCCTGTTGCTGCTCCTTAGAAAACCATGGTACTTGAATGACTAGGTAAAATTTAGTTACCATGTTTAGTCCTTAAGGATTAAACTTTAGGACTCTGATGTTATTTGCTAGTATTAATGTTCCACTAATATTTTAGAATACTTCTTAATCTAGATTAGGTTAATTGGGGTGTCAGAAAAGAATAGGAAAATTAAAATGCCAGCCTATACACTATTGAAGTGGAGGCCAAAATGTTGTATTAAAGTTAGGGGATAGTTTTGAAAAGGAAATGGGTACTGAGTAAGAAATATAGAAAATTAAGCCTATCCATGTAAAATCATTGAAGGAAAACAACACAAAGAGTCAGAGACAGAATAATGTTGAAGCCGTAGTTCTAGTTCTACTCCATGGGTAATACACTGTGCTCATGCACTAGTCTGGATATTGGAATTCAAAATTGAGGTTAGATAGGAGATTGGCTCTTCAAGAGCCTGTAGAATAAAGAAATGGAAAAGCATTAAAAAATTGCAGAGTACTGTATATGAATTTGTGTTTTGGCTTCTTAATGATGTTGAAAGGTGCAGATTTCTTTTGCATAGAACATACTTCTACAAAATACTTTGTGTAGTTATTAGGGAATCAGATGTAACAAGTAATTATAGTTAAGATATATCTCACATTATATGTATCAGTTGAGTTAAAGTATAGTTCACTTAGAACTTGTAGCTATGTTATAAAGTGTTGCTCTTTATTTTTATAAAATAGAAAGCAGATAAAATCTGGAAAATTTAAAGTTCTTACTAACATTATTTGACTTTGTTGATTCTTTAAGGCAGTTAATGAGCCAAGAAATTTATATATATGTTAGAGAGGGTTCTAAAATCAGGGGTTTTTTTTGTAGACTTACTCAAAATCAGTGAGCATGATTTAATAAGCAGTTATTTGAATATATATAAATCAAATGATAAAAGGTAAAAGTTGACAATTTTGTCACTTACCAAAGCTATTTAGCAGCCTGAGATATATATTTTAAATTTTACAATATTTCTATTTATTTTAGTGCAAAATGACTCCCTGCCATTAAGTTTTTGTGGCAAAATAATGCATCATAACAATGTATTCTTATATAAAATCGTATCTGGTTGCAATCATGTCTTCTTTTCTCAACTAAGGACTTTTGAAGAATATGCCACTCAATCTAAATCACTGTTTTAGGTACTTTATTTAAAATTGGTGAAATTGGTACTTTATTCATAAGGTTATTATTCATATGCATGCCAAGCTAAATTTTATTTGGAGCTTAACATAAAGCATAAAATGTACAAGCTGATGGTAATGCTGCCCCTTTAGATACTGCCTGGTAATGCAGTACATGTGTCCACATTTATATACTGAAAAAGTTATCATGAGACATGTTAGTGGAGCCAAATGAGAACCAAGTTGTACTATTCTCCTTATGTAGCAAAGCCAACTGGAAAAAGAGTATGCAACTAAAGGATTTATTGCTTGTATTGACATGATTAGAGTCAACAAGAATACATATTTGTGAATACTCTCAAATATTTGGGTTAGATTTACACGTTTACATATTTATACAAGGCAACAACAATTTTTTCTTCCTTATTTTTCTATGTTTGCTCTAATTCATGCCCCATATGTCTCTTAGGACCTAGCTGCCTAAAATCATATGAAGCCTGTACTTTTGATTCTTTGTAATATAATAAAATATGGAGAGCTAGATGCTTTGTGTTACACTTTGTTTACACTTGTGTTACTTGTAAAGTCACTAGTGATTTTGCTTTAAATTGATCTGATTTTAATCTCTTTTTAAAAGATGCCATTCTAGATTTTGTGACCATTTTTGTCAAAATGAGCTTTGGTTTTTTTCTTTATCTCCTGGCTTTTTTTTCTATTTACTGAGACCTAATATGTTCTTTTTTATTTTATATTTACTTTGACTTGGTTCCTGTTTTTTATTCTCTGAGCAGGTAAAAAGCTCAGAGTGTTTGATGCCTTTTTTTAAGATTATATGGGTATTCTCTTCTACATCTTACCTTACTTCCCATTTTCATGAACTTGTCAACTTTATGCTTTTTATAAACAAACTATTCTGATTCTTTTTCCCCACCAATACTGTATTACTTATTTGTTGCTACATAACAAATTTTTCCTAAAATGAGCAGCTTAAAATAACAATAAATGGGTATCTCACAGAATTTCCATGCAGCAGGAATTTGGGAACAGCTTAGCTGGTAGTTTTGGTAATTTTAGCTGGTAATCTTTTATGAGTTTGAGGCAAGATGTTAGCAAAGGCTCGACTGATGCTGCAGGCTTCACCTCCAAGTAGCTTACACATGTTTCTGGCAAATTAATGCTGGTTATTGGCAGGAGGCTTCAGTTCCTTGACATGTGTTTCTCTTCGGAGGGCTGTTTGAGCTCCTCATACAGTAGTTCCTTTACTTCAGAGTAAATGAAACAAAAGAGAGTAAGAGAGAAAGTACAATGTCTTTTATTACCTTGCTCTGAAGTCAAACTATTAGTTATCAAGGTCACCCTATTCTGTGAAGAGGAGAACCACACAGTGTGAATATGAGGAGGCAAGAATCATTCAGGGGCATCTTGGAGGCTAGTCACCATAAGTCTTTGTAACATATGACTTCTCATTTCAATTCTAATCATTCAAATTTCTAAGTTGGATCATTTTTATTAAATATACCATCATTACATATCTTTCTAAATATATCACCCTATGAAACAAGTCCATGTTTGCCTTTTATTATCTTGCTTGACTGAAGCTTCTTATCAGACTCACAGAATTTTGGTTGCTCAATGTACAGCTTTTTTTTGTAGACAGCAGGGAAATCTCACATGTACATATTCTCTAGCACAATTTTTGTTGTCTTTTCCTGTCAGAATCAATATCATCTTGTTCTGATTATTTTCCCTGTTGTTGCTCAGCTTCTCTTTACTTCGACACTAGCTTTTTGTCTAGGCTTTCCTCTATCTGTTATTAGTTTCATTTTGTAATCACAGACTACTCTAGAAGCATTATTTCACAAATAATCTGATACTTTAACCAAAGTAGTTGAAAACTTATATCCACACAAAAGCCTGCACATGGATATATCTATAGCAGCTTTATTCATAATTGCCATAACTTGGAAGCAACCAAGATGTCCTTCAGTAGGTGAACTGATACACTGTGGTACATGCACAAACAACAGAATAATATTCAGCACTAAAAAGAAATGAGCTAATAAGCCATGAAAAGACATAGAGGAAACTTAAATGGATATTAATAAGTGGGAGACACCTATCTGAAAAGGCTACATACTATATGATTCCAACTTTGTGACATTCTGGAAAGGCAAAAGATCCATTATTGCTAGGGGCTGGGAGTAGGGAGGAGGTTGAACAGGCAGAACACAAAGGACTTTGAGATTAGTAAAAATATTTTGTAAGACACTATTATGGTGAATGCATATCATTATATATTGTATGTTCTCTGAACTTGTACAAATACCAACAGTGAACCCTAATGAAAATTATGGACTCCTAGTGATTATGACATGTTAATCAGTTGTAAAAAATGCACCATTCTGGAGGCGGGTGTTGATAATAGGGGAAACTATGCATGTATGTGGGAAGGTGGAGTGTGGGAGATATTTATATGTTCTTCTTAATTTTGCTGTGAACCTAAAATTGCTCCAAAAATAGTTTTTTTAAAAAAATCAGATTTATCTTGCCTTTTCTTATCACAAGACATTAAATCTACAAGGAGCTCTCTGGCTCCTTTTAATAGAGAATAAATAGCATTAAAGACCAAAATATAGGAGCCAAAAGAGCACATTTGATTGCTTCACATGAACTCTGGAGGAAGGCAAGTTGTTCTGTTTGATGTATACGATTTTTGTTTTGTGAATTTTAGATTATGTGGTTATAATAGTCACAATCACCATTTCAACAAAAGTTTCTTGCTGTACACAAACTCTAGAAACAGGATTTGATTTCATATGAGGTAAGAAATTAAAAGAATAAAAATTAGATGATGTGCAAATGTGAGGAGGAGCTAATGAGGAACTAGCTAATAATAGTTGGTGTCTAACCTGAAATTTAAAACACTTTTATATAAAAGTCATTTACTAACAAGTATATTAGGTAAGAGGAATTCAGACCTCAATGCTTCCTATTTGAAGCTACATAGTATAGAGCAGCTCTTCATTTTCTATCAAAATATCCATCATAATTTTCATTTGTCTCCTGGTACTTTCCCCAAAATTGTGAGGATTAATGGTTGGGAGCTCAAGCTCTAAAATCAGTTCTAAAACTTCCATTACGTGGAGCTGTGTGACCTTAAGCAAGACATGTAAAGTCTCTAAACTAGTTTCTTTATCTATGAAATAGTGATAAGAATAGGATTTTAAACATAACTGTGACATAAAATGCATCCAATTAACATCTAGAAAGTGAATGTGTTATATCATCAAGGGCTTTGCATAGTGTCTAGAACCTAATCAATTTTGGTTTAATGCTGGCTTCTTCTTATTAATTCAATCTGACTTCTTTTTTATTTTGAGAAACTTTTCACTAGCCCTTTTATTGCAGAAAAGTCCTTCCAACAATCTAAAGCTTTACATTGTGGACATGAAGAACATCACTGAAGTGTTTATTAATAGACTCTGGACAAGAAAATGATGTGGTTCACTGAAAAAGTACTAGTTTTAGAGTACATTTGCAAACCAGGGGACAGGATAAATTGTAAAGCCTTTCCGAAACTCATTTTGGTCCTTGAAAAAAATGGGATAATATCAATTATTAGAATTGTAAGAATTAAATGAATAACTCTCATTGTAGAGTAATAAGTAATCCTATTTTATGAAAGAATGACTACTTCTGAATATAATTACCTTTTCATTATACCAAACCTACCAAAAATGTACGTTTCTTCTACCCCATTAGCCACTCCAATCATCAAATGCTGTGGAATCTGTGTTCTCTATTTGTGGTGACTATCTGGTTTAGTGACAATTGCTTTCGAGTGGGATTTATTTTGTCTTGGTTTGTGTTTTACCAGTTTGATTTTGTTTTAAATAAGAAAGCTAACTTACATTTCTCAGACATTAGATTTCATGAATGCTTATCTGTAAAAGAAGTATTGTTTTATTACACTCTTGGAATTAAGGGACTCAAATAATTACAGCACAAATACAGAAGCTGGTCATCTTATGCACAGATGATTGGAGATGTTGGTTAAGCGCTTCTGCATACTACGGCTCATCGTTCTGGTAAGGGCCCACATGAAGGCTGTATTTAGAGTAACTCAAAGTAAAAATTACATGACTTGAAAGGTGATCTAGTAGAAGCTCCTCAATTTACAGACAGTAAAACACAACCAGGGCTTCATGACATATGTCTGTAGTCATGTTGACCACAGGAGGATACCTAAGCATGAGAATACTTTCGCAATTTTACTCTGCAGAATATTTCCCAAGCATTGGATTCCTCAGTCCTTACATTTTGGCTTCAAACTGATGATTATTTAACAGAAGAAAATCATTTTTCTTGGAATGGTTTTGCAGTTAGAAATATAATGTGCTCTCCATCTTCCCCTAAGCATTAAACAGTATTCACTGATAGATACAGAATATCAAGCCAGATTAACTGCTAATTTTTTTAGGCTTAATGGCTCTTTTATTTTCATGGTAATTATCATTGGTTGGGCATTAGTATAGATAATGTACACACGAAGGTTCAAACTACAGGGCTACATTACCTTCAGTGTCTCTCTAAGTAGAAGAGGAAGAAAAGTCAAATGAAAAATATAGGAATATAATAGTCTATAGAACCCCATGACCTATTTTAAAGAACCTGAAATTTGATGGGTGATTGGATGCGGTCTTCTAAATAAAACACAATGTAGTAAACTGATTTTAAATGACACTAGATATGGAGGGAGAGATCTATGAGAAGAAAAATTGTATTAAAATTGAAAGATATACATTTAATTAGGAAAAGCAGAAACATTTAAAAATATGAAATTGAAATTAGATGATGAACATGTATTAATAGCTCTGGGTGTGGCAGTGCACACCTATAATCTCAGAGCTTTGAAGAAGCCAAGGTGGGAAGCTCACTAGAAGACCAGTCAGGGTAATGTATTGAGACTTAATCTTTACAAAAAACAAAGAAAATCAGCCAGGCATGGTGGTGCATGCCTGTAGTCCCAGCGACTAGTGAAGCAGGAGGATCACTTGAACCTAGAAGGTTAAGGCTGTAGTGAACTATGATTATGCTACTGCATTCTAGTCTCGGTGATAGACTAAGACCCTGTCTCAAAAAGAGACGTTTATTAATAAAACGTGGAAGGAGAAGTTATAAAATGCCAATAGCATGATTACCTAAAACAAATGCTTAAAACCTTGCAAAGCAGCTTGCATGTAGAGGGCAACAATTATTTATTAAATGAATAAATTAACACCTAAGCCCTTCTACCTTAAGATGCACTTGAAATCACCATTATGGAAACCCTTGAAAAGAATATATGAATAAATGCTCAGTTTTTTTAATTTCTACAGTGTATCTTCAAATATGCTATATATATCATATGCACTATCCCTACAATAATCACATCAGGTAAAAATTTTTTACCCTACTTAACAGATGCACAAAGTTAAGTTCAAAATTGAGTGTAACTTGCTCAATATTATACAATTAAGAAATGAAAAAGCCAGGAGTTTAGCCTAATCTGGCTGACTCCAAAGCTGAAGCTCTTAACGTTTCTGCTATGTGCATCTCTACATTCAAGAAGAAAGAAAAGATAATAAATTTAAACTTAAAGCTCATAGGCAATATTCACTAACTTAAAAGGCATTTCACAAGGATGAAATACAGAAGCAAATAATCTATGGTCTTGAGTGATACCAGTGTCAGACTAAAACAGATGATTGTATTTTCAAGTAAATGAGTTATGACTTGAAGAAAGGAAATTCCAGGATGGCTTAGAAGCAGAGAATAAGGCCACTTATCCCTGTCTAGGTAGTTTTTCTGGGTATGAATTCTGATCTAAATATTAAACACTGTATAAGAGTGAACTCAGTGAAGTCAGAGGTGGGTTGTAGGAGGAGGGAAGAACATTTGTGAGGTTTATTGCAGTCAAGGAGTAGGGAAGAAGCCCAGATACAGGCTCAGGGAGATAAAAGACCGAAAGGGTTCTCTGAATTAGGGTTTTTTTCCCCTGAGGCAATAATAAGCTACTGAAGGATTTTAAACACAAGTCATGGTAGTTTTTTGTGTGAATATATATTCTGTCTATAGTGCTATAAATGAAGATAGAACACTGCTGCAACATTCTAGGCAGTCTAGCATGATGATACACCTGTGGTCTCCGAAGTATGGGATATATACTCCTAGGATACATAAGAGCAGCTAATGGGCCAGACAAAAAAGAAACATTAAAATTTCTATTTATTTTTATTTTATTTCAACCATGTTTTCAGTTTTGCATATTTTTATAACATATAAGTGTCTACACTTATAATACTGTTGTGAAATAATGCTTGGAGAATTGTTTTAAAAGAGATAGCTAAATATAAGTAATGTGTTAGATTTTTGTAGGATTTGGTAGGATTTTGTTAAGAGTTAGATAAATAGAAGTAAGGTGGTAGGTAATAGAGGTAAGAGAGAAAATACAACAAGAGAAACATAAAATGAGTAATTTTATGATGAATTTGTGTTGCTGCAGTTTAAGTAAAAATGCTTAAAAGATAGATCAATCTACTAGAAGTAAAGTGAAACACTGTATTAGTGCCATAAGTTTTGGAGTCAATGTGGTATGGAGGCCACCTGGAACCTTGTAAGTGGATGAAGTCAGCAAAGAAGTCTAGGGAAGGTGAACAAAAATGATAACCTGGACTAGAACCCCAGGAACACTGACACTTAGAATGAGTGCTAGAAAGAAGGAGGAGGAGAACAAAATTGAGGGGCCACAGAGGAAGAACGAAAACTGAGCTAGAGAGTGGTTTGGTGGAAACTGAAGAGAGTGTTGATGTTGAACAGATACTGATGTACAATTCTGCTGACAGTTAAGTAGGAGAAGAGCTAATATACATTTTGCATTTAGAACATAGAGTGATCAGCATCCTTTTCAGGAAGCAACTTCAGTGACATTGTGGGAATGCAAAGCATTGTGAGAATTCCAAGGGTGGAACAGTGAATGAAAGTGAGGATTAGGAATTATTTCTTAATATATTCCTATATATTTCCTAATATATTCTAATATATTCCTATAATTTTGGCTGTGAACATGGATGAGAGAAGTCTGGCATGGGATGAACTATTTAAAACATTAAAATATGGAAGAAACTCAAGTGTTTAAATGATGCTGATGAAAAATAAAGTAGCAAAGCTGAGGATACAGGGATTGGTGATTTCTTTCCTGTCTTTACTGATGTTTCTCTTATTGCTTATGGCAGCTCTGAATAAGGGAACTGAGAGGAAAAATTTCCCAAAATACATTCCTAATCATCTGTGAATTGAACTTACAGGGAAGAATAGAATGAACAGTACTTGCAGTCCCCCATGCCGATAAGAAAGAGTGAAAAACAGCCAGAAATATATAGAGGTAAAGAGGTCAAAATAGGCCTGCATATTTTAAAAAAGAAACTATTCCACAACGAATTCCTAGAGAAGCTTCCAGTTCTCTTCCCCAAGGGTGGCATCTGCTTCTTGTGAAATTAGCTAATTTAAATGAGTAGAAGTGAAGATGCTGAACATTATTATATCCATTGACTATGACTTGGGTGCATGGTGGAATCTGGGGCACTGCTGCCTCTGGTTGAGCTAGGAATTGGAGAGTGGTAGGAGGTGACAAAAGGAAAATAACTGATATTGGTCAGAAAATCTCACCTGTAACCCATTTTGCACATTTCCTAATTTATTGAGGACTTGATGACATATATCCATTTTGTCTTATCCCATTTTACTCTGAGAAATAGATTTAATAAAATTTTCCTATTCATTTTTTTCACTTGTTGTCTCTTTTTCTGCAGCTAGGTTTAATTCCTGAACATTTGCCATTTCCTTATTCATGTTTTGTTTGTTTGTTTTTGGTACAGCATTTGCAACACCTTAGCCAACTAATCAATTCGTAGTACTATTTTTCCTGACAAGTATATGAACATTACATGAGAAGACATCATAGTCACTTGTACTGTCCTTGGGCGCAGCATATATTCTGACAACTCTTCTAAGCTTAATCAATATTTTGAAATGAGTGAATGAATGAATGAATAATGCATCATGGAAACAATTTTGCTGTTTCTCTAAAATAGATACTTTTTGATGGATCATTTTTGTATAATAATGTAATTTAAATCCAAAATACAGCTAAAGTCCCATTCGTGCCAATTAGAAAGTGAAAAAAACATCAGAAACGTCAAGGCAAACATCAAGAGGTCAAAACAGGCCTTCACATAAAAAAAGAAACTATCTAATTTTATAAGTTCCATTGCAGTTTGAGACTTAAACTCATTAATCACTTTGAGGACGTTGCATTTTGAATTCTCACAAGGATATATGTTAGTGATAATCAGCTCCATTTTATGGATGAGAAAACTAAGCCTAGAGAGGTTAAGTAAATTGCGCAAAATTTCTCAACCAATAAGTAGCAGAGTTAGGATTGAATAAGAGATGTAAAAGATGTCAATATTGGCAGCTTTTGTTTTCTGGACCATGGTGTATGAGTTTTCAGCTCTTATTTGCTAGTATTTTTGTGGTAGATTGTTTTCAGAGATGGCTACTATCCATAACTTCCCCTCCCATGAGAGGCAGAATATGTTTCTTCACCCCTTTGAACCAGGACTGGCTTATGCCTGTTTTGATGAAGAGAATACAGCAGAAGTAAAGCTGCTGCAGTTCTAGACCTTCTTGTTAAGAAGACTAGCAATTTCTTTCTCCAGTCTTGGGGATCTGAGATGTCATGTAAAAATTTCACGCTGCAGAGAGATGCTACATGGAAGTATAGGTGTGTGAGTGAAGAAGTTAGATGACCATCCCAATTGGGCTTCTGATGACTTCAAGCCCAGCCTCTATAGGATAAGCTGCATGACAAACCCCTCAAAGAGAACACCTAGGTTAACCTAATCGATCCATAGAATCCTGAGATATAATAACAAATTGTGCTTGTAAATCATTAAATTTTGTGGTAATTTGTTATATGCCATAGGTAACAGAAACAGTGTATTTTATCAAACTCAAGTTTAAATAGAAATTACAAATCATTGTGTCCCTGGCTTATTATTATCTGATTAAATCTGCTAAGATTCAGTGACTATCAATATCTCTATCTTAGACTGGACAAAGAAAATGTAGCACATATACACCATGGAATACTATGCAGCCATAAAAAACAGTGAGTCTGGGTCCTTTGTAGGGACATGGATAAATTTGGAAACCATCGTTCTCAGCAAACTGACACAAGAACAGAAAACCAAACACCCCACGTTCTCACTCATACATGGGTGTTGAACAATGAGAACACATGGACACAGGGAGGGGAGCATCACACACTGGGGTCTCTTGTGGGGGCTAGGGGAGGGACAGCAGGGGTGAGCAGGTTGGGGAGGGATAACATGGGGAGAAATGCCAGATATAGGTGATGGGGGGATGGAGGCAGCAAACCATATTGTCATGTACATACCTATGCAGCAGTCCTGAATGTTCTGCACATGCACCTCAGAACCTAAAGTACAATAAAAAAAGAAAAAATATGTCTATTTTAACCTGGCACATTTATTCTAAAACTATATTTTTATTGATGATTTCAGTTATAATCACTTATTAATTTGTCTTGACTTATTAAGCTTATTTATTTATGATTTCAGTTACAATCACTTATTAATTTGTCTTGACTTATTAAGCATTATCCAGTATATGACATGCTTGACTTCAGAAATATATGACTTTAGGCCAAATATGCATTTGCTATCGGTGACCAAATCTGGCCTCCTTTTATACTTGTACCTACTGCTAGTTGCTCTTTAATGATTGAATCTTACTCATTAAAGGTTATTTTATGTTTCTAAAAAGTTCTGTAAATCTTTCTTTAAAATAAATTTACTGAGTGTTTATTAAATTGAACTATATGAAATTGACAGTATTTGATGACTTTTGTACTACAGAAATGGGTATTTCATAATACCATGTGGTAACTACCTTTTTTTTCCCCCCCAGATGGAGTGCTGCTATTCTTTAAGGGAATAGTCAGTATCTATACCAAGGTCTTGCCATAATTATACTAGTTTCTTGGAGTCAATGTATAATGTTTGTCTGGAATTTTGTTATTTAGAAAAAACAAACATATATTATTAGAAATTTACCCACAAAGTTTATATAGCTGAATTTTGAAAATAAATATTAGACTTCAGTAATGAGTATAAGAGATCTTGAGAACTCTATTATTTTCCCTAAGGAGATCTTCCATTATAATTAGTTTAAAGTTGAAAAAGATAAACTGAATAAAGAAAATCTGGCAGATATACACTATGGAATACTATGCAGCTATAAAAAAGGATGAATTCATGTCCTTTGCAGGATCATGAAAGAAACTGGAAACCATCATTCTCAGCAAACTAACACAACAACAGAAAACCAAACACCACATGTTCTCACTCATAAGTGGGAGTTGAACAATGAGAACACATGGACACATGGAGGGGAACATCACACAGTGGGGCCAAAGGGAGGGACAGCATCAAGAGAAATACCTAATGTAGATGATGGGTTGATGGGTGCAGCAAACCATCATGGCATGTGTATACCTATGTAACGAACCTGCACGTTCTGTATATATATCCCAGAACTTAAAGTATATTAATAATAATAAAAAGAATTACACAGTTTTAAAGTAAATGAAACTTTAAATAATTTAGATAACAAATGGGCTCCTCCTTTGATTTATTCTTCATAATTTTCATGCAACTACCTTTTTATTGAAGCCTTATGATAACCTTGTAAGTCAAGGCAGTAGAAGAGGTTGTTTTTACTGAGGAGGAGAGTAGGCTAGATGTTAAGTGACTTAGACTTTGTCTCAGAGCTAGAAAGTAAGAGTTGGAATAAGGATTTACAGCTGCTAACTCTGAATTTACTAATCCACACTTCGTCTTCTACAGTAATTATTAGTAACTATCACTTATTCTCTGCTTATAAATATAAGCTTATATTCAGGTGGCTAACTATAGTTAATATTTCAAGGTCACTGGGGTAAATTAATTCATTATCACTGAAAGTGGGTTGGATATAGAGAAGAAAGCAGTATGATGTTGAAGAAATAGCAGGAGCTGGTTTGTCAGTGATTCAACATGTCCTATAGTGTTTTTCTACTCACATACATCTATAAGTATGATTTCTTATTAGGTCTGAGTGTTTTCAATAAGACAGAGCATGCACACACTTTCAAGAAAGGAAAAATAAAGAAAAAGACAAAATTGATTAGAAGGGCTCAATACAATATGATTTGTCTGTCAATTCTAAATTAAATTGAGAAGAGAAAAATCTAATGAATTTAGAAGGCAGTATTTATAATATACAAGGTGGATGTTTTTAATCTAACCTTCATATAGTGATCATCTTCACATGGCCATTCTACCTGAAGCTCTGATCCTAACTGACAAGGTATGCCAACCATGCCAAATGGAGTTAAAGAAAAACCACCAGATCAGTTTGCAAGTCCAGATATGGTCTCAGGCTGTCACTGAAAGATTCCCTATAGGAACTGCTATTATAGGAAGCTTCTGCAAGAGCTGTAATGTGACTGTGCGTTATTATTTTATTTTAAATAATGTTGAAGGCCTGTGCCAAATGCTGAAATGCTGTGAGAAGAAATATGTGTCCTTAGAGGAATAATAGTAGTAATTATTAAAATTAATATTGCCTTCTTAATTTGGGAGGTTTATTCTTTTAGCATGTTATAGCTCTCAAATGGAGCAGCCTAATTCAGGAATCATGCAGTGCGCGATGTTGTGGATTTATTATATTACTTACTAAATACTTATATATATATATATATATCCCTATTTGTCAATGTCTGATTTATTCAGCTCATTTGTGGCCATTCTGCTCCAATTACTGTCCTTGTTTAAGATTAACCCACTGTGTCAAACCTGGTTCTTTCTCCTGAAGTCACATTTCCAAGTCGCATTTACACAGCTCACTCAGGAAAACTTTTAAGCTTCCAGTTATTTTCCTATAGTAGACTCATTTCCATTTGTCTCTGCAGTGAGTACTTTCAGAACTAGCAAGAATCAGAGAAAAATAATCAACTTTTGATGTATCACTTGCTCAGAGTTATTTAAGACTCTTGTGACCATCTTAAAAAATAAAAACAACCTTACTCTTATTTTAACTCATTCACCCCCATCTCCTTTTTCTGCTTTATTTTTCTCCATAGCATCAATCATTTCTTAATCTCCGATCTAATTTACTCTGTTTGCCAATTTTTTTTTTTTTACTTTTCCAGGATTCTCTAGAATGATAGTTAAATGAGGGTAAATGTCTTTATTTATTTACTACTTTATTGTCAATGTCTGACACATAGATTGTGCTTAATAAATGTTTGTTAAATCAATAATGAGCTAACATGGAAGTCTACTTCTTCATCTGTAAATTTTAAATAATGACAGTATACACAGCTCTTATTAGCCAAAGCTTTTTCATTTCTAAAAATGTGATAGCAAATTTCCAGATAGCAGAAGCCTATATTTCATTATTTTTAATGGAAAAAATCATGAGTTCTAAGCACATCCCCAAATGCCAACCACTGTTATTAAAACATTTTAAAAAATCCAAGTCATAACACATAAATTACTTCTGGATATCATAAAAAGGTCAAAGTACAACATACCTAATTATTTAATAAGTAATAAAGTGAAGTTTCTTCACTGTATGTTTCTGTGCAGTATACAATATTACTGGGAGATTTCCTTTCACATTGCAAGAGGCAAGTACTCCAATGCAAGTAACCAATAAAATAATATGATAAATACAGAAAAGTATCTAACTAAATTGAAACTTGCTAATAGTGCCCTCAGGCATCTGACATAGCAAACAGGAATCTGTTATAAACTTCAAAGTAAAGCGTGGAGAAGATAATAGTAATAATGTGTAAAAGGTTTAAACAACTTTAATACACATCATAATCTCATCAGGAGAACAAGAGAGATAGAACTGCAATATGATTGATGCTTTCTCACAAAAAGGAACGCCCAGTTTAGATGTGTCTTTGCGAATATGAACATGCAATTTTGTTTAGGGACCTTTGGACTTTGATAGTAAAGTTTTGGTAAAAAATATTTTTATGCAAGTCATTATAGTGAATGATTACTGCAATTTTTGAAGAGCAAAAGCTAATTGCATATATCTCAAGTTTTTTGAGCATTAAATGAGATGTCCTCTGTAAAGAACTTGACCCTATTAATTACTCATTGTATAGTAATGAATGTTATGTCTGAAAGTAGTAGAAAGATAGGTATGATTGTCATGAAATTCAATGCCAATTAATAATATGCCTATTTTGCCTTGTGAACGTTCTCTGTCCCTTGCTCATCAGTGATTTTTTTCTAACACAGTAATCTTACAATTTGCCAATTTTGGGAAAATGAAATAAAAGAGAGGCCCTAAAATGGTCACATTGAAGTGTCATTCTAATCAACTGTGAGCAAGTAATTGGCTATCCTGTAGCTACAATGATGACTGTTATTCTTTCCAGCTGCTCTTAATAAGACTCTTATATTGATTTGTCTGGTGTCCAAAATAATTTTTCAGAAGTGTTACCCTAGGGGCTGGGAACCAGTTGAGTTTTAGCATCTGGTTTAAACATTTTGGGAAGGACTGATATCCTGTTCTGCCTTTCTTAGGTCCATCTGTATTATTTGAGATGCCTGGTCTATAGTAGGTTTATATATCCAAGATTGCACTTATGAAATTATATATTTATTTTGAAATTAAATAAATATTATGTATGAAATACAGCTGGAAAGCTGATGCTGGCTTTATGGATTCTGTTAGTACTACTATAGAACTATGTTGTCTGTCTCACTTGGTTGATCATCACCAAAAACAACAACAAAAAGGTAGAGTAAAATATGAGTCTCTCGTGCTACCTGATAGTAAAATTTTATTTTTCTTCTAGAAAACATTATCTACAAGTACACTAGAAAAATAAGTTTCTGGTTAAATAGCTAAATGGTTTATTTCCCTTTGTATGGAAAAGTCTTTGTAGTAGTCTGCATACCCTTAATTTAGTAAAGGGGTACCTCATTAACCTAAAAAATTAACTGAAAGAGATTCCAGTTAGTCTCATTCTCTACATTACCAATGACTTAAAAAATACTATTCATCCACAACAGTATCACTAATTAAAGCCAGAATTTGTATTCATATTATCATTTTAGCTTCATATGCACAGCTTTAATTTAGTTTCTGTTTGTTCTTTAAATTCTGTGCAATTTGGAGCTCAGGAATATATATCTTGAGTTTACAGGTTAAATAAACAGCATTTACTCTCATCCTGATAAACAAGCTTGAATGCAATTTGGAAGAAAAGGGGAATGCTAACCAATAAAGAGCTAAAATGCAAACATGCTAAGTAGATTAGGGAAGTATAAGGTTCTCCTATGAAAAAACGAATTGCTTTTTATTGATAGTGGACTAATATGCATATTATTTAACTACATCTCATTAGTACACTCATTTCACAAATACTCATTTAATACTTATACAGTTTCAAACACTTTACTAGCACAAATTAATTTGTATAACAACAAAAGAAAAATACACAAAAATTATAGGGAAAACATTTAAGACTAAGATTAATGTATGCTACTATTCAGTGGAGTTATAGACTAGAAACTGAGAAATTCTTCATGATTCCAGAGACAGATGGAAGACCACAGAAGTCTCTTTTCCTGTAGGCAATATATCTTCAGGCTTATATGACAGAGACAGTACAAATCACTGAGAATAAATAGAAAAAGTCTAAGAATTAAAGAGGAAAATGAAAAAAGAGTGGAAATAAAAAAGTAAAGGATGCAAAAGAGATGTACAACAAAGCAAACAAAATTGATATTTCATAAAAACATTAATAGAAAGACAAACCTCCATCATGATTGATAAAAACAGGAATTAAGGACGACACAGATAAATATGGTGAATAAAAGGAAGGCATATATAAAATAAAGCAGAGATTACAATGATAAGAAAAATACTATAAAATATGGCAACAATTTTGAAAATTAGTAAAATGTATTAATGTATAGAAAAAATGCAATTGTGAAAATTGACTCATGAAATAACATTAATAATTCTATTTCTGTCAAAGCAATTGAATCACTTAAAAAAATTATTCCTCAAAGAAAATACCAGGCCATGATGATTTTACAAGTTATCTCTAAAACGAAAGCATACCAATTTTTTTTCTTTATGTGATAAGAATGTTTAACATGAGATCTTGCATTATTTTCCTGATTTTGTTTAGTTCTCTCTATGTACTCTTTATAACTCAGTGAGCTTCTTTAAGGTGATTATTTTGAGTTATTTGTCAGACAGTTCATCAATCTGCATTTTTTAGGGTCAGTTATTAGAGATTTAGTTTTATTATTCTTTCAATTTTGTTATTTTCCTGATTCTTCATGTTTATTGTAGTTTGCATTGGTGTTGGTCATGTAAAGAAACAGCTACTTCTCTCAATCTTTACAGACTGGCTTTGGCAGAAAAACATTTTCCTCAGTCTCTCCATATAGAGATTCTGGGATCCTCTCAAATCTTCTCTATGGATGTGTAATCTTTGGAATTATGTGTACCATGGGCCAGATCATTAGAGACCACTCTTCTCCCTCCTTTCTTGTGGAGAACTCTTGTGTTCTGTGCCTCTCCCAATCTCTCTGAACCATGCTAGGCATATCAGGTACCCTACCCTTTTTCTTTGCTTTTAGCTGGCCATCCCCCATCCCAAACTGTGAAAATGGCACCAATGCTCCAGGTAAAGTGAAACAGAAACCAGCCCTCAGGAAGCACACTGAAAGCAGGACATCGGAAGAACCCTCCATTTCTCTTGTTCCTAAGAGAGTAGCCTTCATTTCTGTACCTCCTTTTACTCTTGCAGAGCTTTGACAGTCACAGGAACCTTCCCATCATTTGTTCTTAATTCTGAACTGCTCCCAGGCATCTGAACTATACTGGTTCAATCAGCACTTCATCCCAATTTATCAAATTTTCCACCAACAGAAAAAGCAGAAAAGTTATTTTTCCCATTCTCCATTTACCAAAATCAAAATTATTAGGAGAAAAAAATTACATATACATTTTAATAATACATATACAAGCAATACCTACAAAGCAAATATTAACATTATTCAATTTTAATAATACATATACAAGCAATACCTACAAAGCAAATATTAACATTATTCAATGTGTATGAATAAAAAGACACATTCCAATTATGTCAGGCATATTTTATGTATAAAGGAATAGTTTCATTTTATGAAATACATAAATTAATTCATGTTAACATATAAAAAAGAAAAATTATGTGATCAACTCAGTTGATGCAGAAAAAACATTTAATTAAAAATGCAAGCACAATTCACAAAAATTATTATTAGAAAATTAATGTTAGAAGATAGCATTTTTTTCCTGAAAGTTGATTTTATTTTTTTTAAGCTATACTTTTTATTCTGATTGTGAAAAAACAGAAGAGTTGAAAATTCGAAAACATGCAAAAAAATCCCATAATCAACACTTACATTCTATTTTATAGTGGAAGTTCTAAAGAAAACATTAAAAAATTTTACAATATATAGTTAATGAAAGGAGAACATATTGCTATACATGCCATATTCAGTTATGTAGAAAATCTTAAAAAAACTAGAACAAATTATTCGAAACAATAAGAGTGTTTATCAACATAACTAATTACAAGATTAATATATTAGAGAAAATCAAATTAAATTTGCCATTATGTGATCATTTAGACAATAAAAATGAAATATATTATGGCTCAACCTAATACAAAGTCTGTTGAATTTCTCAAAACTAAAAGTAAACGATAAGAAACATGTTTTGTCTGTTACATCATTTATAGTATTAATAAATAATATCAAGTATCTAGAACTAAAGCTGACAGAAAAGTGTAAAATTCTGTTATAGAAATAGTAAAGAATGCCTAAATAAGTGAGAATTTATGTCATGGTTATAAATAAGAAGGATTAATGCTATAAAGTTGTCCGTTTTTCTCAATTGATATATGGACTCAATAAAATCCCAAGTAAAGTTTGTAAGAAAAAAATTAATGCAAATCCAATTACAAGGTTTTACAAGAAACTTTATAAGATGATTCTAAAATTTCTGTAGTAGAGTAACTACACAGGCAAGAATAGTCAGGATATTTCTAAAGAACTACAAAGCAAGGAGTTATTCTACCAAGTTTCAGGATTTATAAACTTTTTGATTAAAATACCATGGTAGTAATCCATAAGTTAGAAACTATTTTCAAACAATGCAGTAGAATTAGGTAAGTGGAATATACCTATATATTTATGAATGTTGATATATGACAGAGCTAGCATTCTACATCATAGGAGAAAGTAGAACTGATCAGTACATGGACTGAAAACAGTCTATATTATAAAAGATTACATTAAACTCCTACCTCAAACCACACACAAAAGTAAATTCTAGCTGGATTAAATACTTAAATTTCAAAAACAATGATTAAAAATAAAGGTAAATATTTTTAAAATCTTGGGGTAGAAAATATTTTCTTAAAATCCAAAAAAACACATAAGGGAAATATTGATAAATATTACAATGTTAAAGGTAAAAATATTTGTTTATCAGGACATAAGTGAAAAGATTATATAATCTAGAAAAGGATATTCTTGTTACATATGACCAACAACATATAGTATCAAGAATAGCTAAAGAACTTCTACCAACCAATAAAGCACCAACAACTCAATAAAAAAATAACCAAAATATATGCAAAAACACTTTACTGAAGAGCAAATACATGTGGCCAATAAATATATGAACAGTTGTTCAATATCCTTAGTGATCAAGGAAATTCAAAGCATGAATACGTTGATGTTAATTTTTACACTCATTTGACTGACAATGTTAAAAGCAATATCAAGAAATATTCTTGGCAATATCAAGAGAGGTATGTTCACCAGCTATTTTATACCTTGTTGGTGGGAGGTTTAAATGATGCAATGAATTTTGCAAATGGTTTGGTATTATCCCTTAAAGTTTAGTAATCACATACTATATGAAACACAAGAATCTATAGGCATGAATTCAATAGCAAATGTACAATAACCAGAACGTTCATAGTCACACAGTTCATAGGAGGAAGAATCTGGAAGTGGTTCAGAGGCCCAGGTAATGAAGACAGGAGGGGAGAGCTATTCACATTTTTCTGGTATCATGCCAGACAGGGTGTAAAATATTTAAAGGTTGACAGAAAATGATCTTGCTCTCCAGGGCTTGTAACTTTTACAGAAATATAAATATTGGTAGAAAAAGTCCAAAGAGATGAAATTATCTGATTTTGATGTTCTGAATGATCTTCATAAGCCATATTATTTTATGATAAATAAAATCATGTTAAAATTTATGACCCTAATGTAATAAACTAGAATACCTAGAATCTGTCACCTAGAACAGTGCCCTGGCACATGGCAGTTATCCAATATATATTTATTAGATAAGTAAACAATATTTATCAAATTATTAAAATTATACTTATTTAGAATATTAAATTTAAGTAGTATATTAAAATAATGAAAAAAGAAAATGTTTGCCCAGAATTTTCTCTGGAGATGGTATTGACAATGACAATGAGGAAAAATGGTATATAGAAGGCAGGAATAACATGCAGCTCCCACTCAGACAGACAGAGCAGCATGAGGAGGCTCACCTCATAAACTTTTGCTCCAAGAACTACTGTAGGAACATACCAGGAAAGCTACAATAATCCACAGACCCTATGAAGGAAACAGCTTGCTGCTACAGGCTCTGTGAGACTGCTGAAAAACTGAGTGCTTGAAGTGTGAGAGGCAGAATGTCCATCCCCAAACACATATCCTCACAGAAATCCTTTAGATTACAAGAGAAGGATTTGACCTTACCTATATAAAATACAGTGGTAGAGGAAGCAGCAGCAAGAGCCCTGTGGACACTCTTGGTTCCAGGAATCCATTCCTGACTTAGCCTTGCACGTGTCCTTGTGGAGAAAACCTTTGCTGATGGGGAGGCGTGAAACCTGGAAGTCCTCCTTGCATTCTCAGTGGGGAGGCTTATAGCCTGAGGAAAGGTCTCAGCACTGTTCACCAGCTGCCTGGAAACAAACTCTGTGCTGTTGAGGGGGATCACAGTAGGAGTGAGACAGGCCTTTTGGGCTTCCTGGGAACTGGGTGAGACCTGTTACTGCTGGCTTTCCCTCTCTTCCCTGGCAACCTATGTGATGTAGCAGAGGCAGTCATAATCTCCCTGGGAACATAAGTCCATTGACTTAAGGAGCCACACCCCATCCTCCACAGCAGCAACAGCAGCAGCAGCAGCAGCAGCAGCAGCAGCAGCAAACCCTGCCCAAGGAGAGGCTGAGCTCAGAAACCTTGCCCCACCTGATGGTCTTCCTTGCCTGCCCTGGTAGCCAAAGACAAAAAACATAATCTCTTGGAACTCTATGGCCCTGCCCACTGCCTGAGAAACCTAAGTTTGTATTCTCCCTTATACTACCAAAGCTGATACTCTCTTGAAAGCACCATCTCCTGGCTATAGGCCAAGCAACAAAATGCCAGTGTACTAAATAAAAACATAGTAAAGGACCCTCACAGAGTCCACTTCACTTCCCTGCTGCCTTCACTAAAACAGGTGCTGGTATGCATGGCTGAGAGACCTGAAGACAGATCACATCACAGGACTCCTTGTACCAGCCCAGAGCCTAATAGCTCTGCTGGGTGGCTTGACCCAGAAGACAAATAACAATCACTGCACTTTGGCTTTCAGTAAACCTCATCCATAGGGGAAAGGGGAAGCACCACATCAAGGGAGCACTCTGTGGGACCAAAGAATCTGAGCAACGGTCCTTGAGCCCAGATGTTTCCTCTGAAATAGTCTAACCAAATGAGAAGGAACCAGAAAACCTATTCTGGTAATTGACTAAACAAGGTTCCTTAACACCCCAAAACATCACACTAGCTTACCAGCAATGGATCCAAACCAAGAATAAATCTCTGAATTGCCAGAAAAACAATTTTGAAAGTCAATCATGCTACTCGAGGTACCAGAGAAAAGTGATTATCTACTCAAATTAAAACAAATGACACAGAATATGGATGGAAAAAAATTCCAGAGAAATAGATAACATAAATAAAACCAATGACAACTTCTAGAAATGAAGGACACACTTAGAGAAATTCAAAATATATTGGAAAGTTTCAGCAGTAGAATCCAACAAGTAGAAAAAAGGAGCTTGTAGACAAGGCTTTAGAATTAACTCAATGTGACAAAGAAAAAATAATTTTAAAAAATGAACAAGGCCTCTAAGAAGTTTGGGATTATGTTAAACAACCAAACCTAAGAATTGATTTTCCTGAGGAAGAAGAGAAATCTAAAAGTTTGAAAAATGTATTTGAGAGAACAATTGAGGAAAACTTCTCTAGCCTTGCTAAAGACCTAGACATCCAAATATAGGAAGTTCAAAGAACATCTAGGAAATACATTGCAAAAACATCATCACCTAGACACATAGTCATCAGGTTTTCCAAAGGCAAAATGACAGAATCTTAAGAACTGTTTGACAAAAGCATCAGGTAACCCATAAAGGAAAACTTATCAGATTAACAGAAGATTTCTCAGTAGAAATGCTACAAATTAGAAGGGATTTGGGTTCTATCTTTAGCCTCCTTTAACAAAACAATTATCAGCCAACAATTTTGTATCCAGTGAAATTAAACTTCATAAATGAAGCAAAGATACAGTATGATTCAGACAAGCAAATGCTGAGAGAATTTGCCACTACCAAGTCAGCACTACAACTGCTAAAGAGGCTCTACATCTTTAAACGAGTTCTCAAAATTAGCAAACAGAACCTTTTTAAAGCATAAATTTCATACCTATGAAACAAAAACACAATGAGAAGCAACAACAACATATTCAGGCAACAACTAACACAATGTGTAGTACCTCACTTTTCAATACTAATGTTGAATGTAAATGGCCTTAAACCTCCACTTAAAAGATATATCATGGCAGAATAAGAATTTACCAACCAAGTATCTGCTGTCTTCAAGAGATTCACCAAACACATATAAGAACATATATAAACTTAAAGAAGTGGAAAACTATATTCCATGCAAAAGACACCAAAAGTAAGCAGGAATAACTATTCTTATATCAGAAAAAAAAAAGACATTAAAACAACAATAGTTAGAATGACAAAGAGGGGCATTAAATAATAATAAAAGGACTAGTCCAACAGGAAAATATTACAATCCTATAAATGCTCCTAACGCTGGAGCTCCCAAATGTATAAAACAGTTACTACTGGACCTAGGAAGTGAGGTAGATAGCAATACAGTAGTGGGGGACTTCAGTGCTCCGCTGACAGCACTAGACAGGTCAGCAAGACAGAACGTCAACAGAGACAATGGACTTAAAATATACCCTAGAACAAATGAACTTATATCAGATACTTACAAATGCATTCTATCCAACTACAGAATATATATTATATTCATCAGCACATGAAACATTCTCCAATATAGACCATATGATGGGCCACAAAACAAGTCTGAAAACATCTAAGAAAATCAAAATTATATCAACTAATCTCTCAGATCACAGTGGGATAAAAGTTGAAATCAACTCTAATAGGAATCTTAAAAATCATGCAAATACATGGAAATTAAATAGTTTACTCCTGGATAATCATAGGTCAACAATGAAATCAAGATGAAAATTAAAGAGTTACTTAAACTGAGTGATTATAGTGACACAATCTATCAAAACCCTTGGAATACAGCAAAAGCAGTGCTAAGAGAAAAGTTCATAGCATTGAATGCTTACATCAGCAAGTCTAAAAAGGCACAAATAGACAATCTGAAGTCACACCTCAAGGAGCTAGAGAAACAAGAACAAACTAAAACCAAACTTAGCAGAAGAAAAGAAATAACAAAGATCAGAGCAGAAATAAATTGTAACAAAAAAAATACAAAAGATAAATGAAGCAAAAAGGTAGCTCTTTGAAAATATAAGCAAAGTTGATAGACCATTAGTGCATTAACCAATAAAAGAAAAAAGATGATGCTAATAAGCTCAGTTAGAAATGAAACAGGCAATATTATAACCAATATCACAGAAATACAAAATATTCAAGGATGCTATGAACACATTTACAGGCACAAACTAGAAAACTTAGAGCAGAAGGATAAATTCCCGTAAACATACAACCTTCTTAAATTAAACCAGAAAGAAACGAAAACTCTGAACAGACCAATAACAAGCAGCAAGACTGAAATGGTAATAAAAACAATTGCTAACGAAAACACATCCCGGACCAGATGGATTCACAGCTGAATTCTATCAGACATGCAAAGAAGAATTGATACCAATCCTAACAAGACTATTCCAAAAGACAGAAAAAGAGGGAATCATCCATAAATCATTCTATGAAGAAAACTTCCCTGGCCTTGCTAGAGATCTAGGCATCCAAATACAGAAAGTTCAAAGAATACCTAGGAAATACATTGCAAAAACATCATCACTTAGTCACATAGTCATCATTTATGAAGCCACTATCATCCCGATATGAAAACCATATCATTCTATGAAGCCAGTATAACCCTGATATCAAAACAGGACAAAGCATAACAAAAAAGAAAGCTGCAGACCAATATCCCTCATGAACATAGATGCAAAAATCCTCAACAAAATACTAGCTAAGTGAATCCAACAGCTTATCAAAAAGATAACCATTATCAAGTGGGTTTTATACCACATGGTAGGAATGGTTTAACACATGTAAGTCAATAAATATGATATGCCACATAAAAATAATTAAAAACAAAAATTAAACGCTCATCACAATAGACACAGAAAAATCCAGAATCTTTTATGATTAAAATGCTCAGCAAAATCGACATAGAAGATAATAAAAACCATATACAACAAACCCACAACCAACATCATATTGAATGGAGACATAATTGAAAGCATTTTCCCTGAGAACTGAAACAAGACACGAATGCTCACTTTTACCACTCCTCTTCAACATAGAACTGGAAGTCCTAGCCAGAGCAATCAGACAAAAGAAAGAAAGAGCATTCAAATCAGTAAGAAGGATGTCAAACTGTCACTGTTTGTTGATGATACAATTGTATAACTAGAAAACTGTAAAGATTCATCCAAAAAATTTCTGGAACTGATAAATTCAGCAAACTATCATGATACAAATTTAATGTACACATATTAGTAGTTCTGCTATACATTAACAGTGACCAAGTTGAAAATTAAATGAAGAACTAAGCCTCCTTTACAATAGCTGAAAAAAGTAAAATAAAATACTTGGGATTATACCTAACCAAGGAGGTAAAAGCTCTCTACAAGGAAAACTACAAAGTATTTCTGAAATAAATTATAGATAACATAAACAAATGGAAATACCACCTATGTTCATGGATGGTTAGAACCAATATTGTGAAAATGACCATACTGCCAAAAACAATTGACAAATTCAGTGCAGTTCCCATCAAAATACTACCATCTAAAATACAAAATACTTCACAGAATTAGAAAAAAAATCCTAAATTTTATGTGGGATCAAACAAAGAGTCCACATAGCCAAAGCAAGTGTAAGAAAAAACAAAAAACAAAAACAAAACTGGTGGCATCACATTATTTGACTTCAAACTATACTATAAGGCTATAGTCACCAAAGTAGTGTCGTACTGGTATAAAAATAGGCACATAGACCAATGGAACAGAGTAGAGAACCTAGATAAAGCGAAATACAGCCAACTTATCTTCCACAAAGCAAAGAAAAATGTGAAGTGGGGAAAGGAATCCCTATTCAACAAATGATAATGGGGTAATTGGCAAGCCACATGTACAAGAATGAAACTAGATCCTCACCTCTTAACTTACATAAAAATCAATGCAAGATAGCTCAAAGACTAAATTTAAGACTGGAAACCATAAAACCTCTAGAAGATAATATCAGGAAAACTCTTGCAGACATTGGCTTAGGCAAGGACTTTATGACCAAGAATCTAAAAGCAAATGCAACAAAAACAAAGATAAACATATGGGACTTAATTAAACTAAAAAGCTTCTGCACAGCAAAAATAACCAACCAAAGAAACAATTAGCAGAATACACAGACAACCCCAACCTAAAGAGTGTGAGAAAA